ACAAGGTACATTAAAATTACTTCAGCTTGCAGGACAAAGTGATCAAACAACTTTTGTCTCTATCCACAACAATGTTCTCATGAAAGCTTCAAATGAAGCTTCACGTATGGTTAGCACAGGCACCCCAAGGAAACTATGGAMAAATTATACTAAGAGAAAAAGGGTCTATGGAAAACTATGGCCTAATCCCCTTGACAAGGCCAGTTCTATAAAACAACATTAGCAGTGTGTGCAGAAAAGCTGGGGACCTTCAGTATTACAAAACAGGATGTGAACGTCATAAGCCATTCTGATATGCTTACAGACTGCTGGTATCCACACCCGTAAAACCGGTCTATTACAAAATGACTGAGATTATGGTCACCAACCCCCAAAAAATCCAAATTTTACCAGTCTTTAGATAATTAAGGCAATCTAGAGGTTCATATATTAATGGACATTGGTCATGCATTCTTCGAAAAGTCCTCCGTAGTTTCCTCAAGTCTGTTTCCTTTGTGCATTGAATAAAACTGATGATTGAAAGAACCAAGTAAACATAGGAAACACCCCCCCATAAAAATTGAAATGTATACCACATAGCTACTAGTCCATTTGACAACAAGATGTACAGTAAATGAAGAAATAAGAACAAAATACCAATAAACAATAAATAACTATGGTTTTTTACCTTAAGGGCACCAAAAACACGGTTTCCAGTAGTTGTTCTAACCAGACCAACATCAAGAAGAGCACGGAAAGGCCTCCTGCTCTCTGTGGGTTCTACAGAGTAATCCTCCCCAGTTGCCTAACAGAAAGCATGTGAGATCAAAGTTAAAAACTTTTAATGAAAGAGATCGAAGGCAAGAAAACAAACCATAATTAAGGTTAAATACCTCCACATTGCCTTGATATTCATCTTCCATTTCAAGCATCTTCAGTACTCGGCGAGCCAAGAGAAGTCCAGTACAATAGGCTGGGAATCATGTTAATTATTAGAATACCAACATCAAACTAAAGTAAAAAAAAAAAAAAAAGAAATTACAGGGGAAAATACTTTCAATCGCAAAGAACATACCTGCTGCATAGTTAGTCAGACCTACTTCAAGACCATAGCGCGGCAACTCATGAGAATAAGCTGCTGCAAGGATCATATCACCAGCAATACTGGCAGATAATATTTGTGCAATAATATCTTTGTTAGTCTAGTAGCGGTGTTAAGATTGAAAACATAGAGAACAAGATACCATTTTTACTATAGACCCACATTAACTCAACCAAACTGGAAAAAAAACACACTTGATAATTTGGTGATCCATATAAAAAGCCCACATTCTTATCAAACCCAAGTCTCTACAGCCACACCTTCTACATGGCATACAAGCCCATCACTTATCAACAACAAACAACCTACCATAAATCCCATATCTCAGTGAGGTCAAAACCAACTAAGGTGATAGAGCTTCTCAATTTCCATTGCCATGTAAAATTTTTCAGAGACAAAATCTCAAAGTTAGTTTGCAAATTAAACTGGAAAGTTGAGATTCCTCATTGTTCTGGATGACTGATAAACCATACAATGATGGTGCTTGGTTCTGTGACCGTTTATTTGAAAAATGGCACCGGCCTATTGCAACATAGGCTGATAAGCATTTATTCCAAAAGGCTATTTGGTAAGACATTTATTAGATAAAAACGTTTGTCTTGGTTTGTGTGAGAGCCAAGCATTGGGGAAACACCATTTTTCATGATTCCCCCAACACCCGGCCATTTATTTACTATTCAGCTTATGTGGAGCCGAATAGCACCTAATGGCACCTAGTTTTCAAACAACAGCAATAAGCATTTAATCTTATTTTTCAAGAAAAATTCCGTACAAAACGTTTCTTCAATAAATGGCCACAGTACCAAACAACCACAAGGAAACTATACGCCTCCAAAAGGTAAAGACATATCACACCACCCAGCATCTTGACTAGGCATTTTATAATAACAGTCTTTTGTTTTGATAAATTTTATCATAACAGTCATTCTTGACTTAAGAACTAAAATAATCTAAAAATAATTACTTAAGCATAATAAACAAACAACTTTAAGGATACAAATCGTACAACAAAACGATATTTCGGTGTGTTGTACTTGTTCTTGTCTTGGTTGATTAGGCGAATCCTCGCCCTGTAGTCAGTCTTTCCCTCTGCATATCAAGGATATCAAATGCATGAGAGAGAAACTAGACAAATGCTAAATGCAATGAAGTGAACCATGGGGTCAAAACACAATACCTCTCCTTCTTTTGTATTTTACTTGAAAACGCTTGAAGTACGCCTTTGACTTCTGAGCTTTGACAAAGGCCTATAATGCACAGATAAATTGTTTTAAATGTTAGAAATGATGCAAATGTGATTACACACGGAAATATTTTGTGGGAAAGCATGCCAATACTCATGCAAATAAGGTTCAGAAATATGCACAATTTTCAGACTTAATACAACAGAAGCTACGAGATAAGGAGACCCTAAAATTAAAAATCAATCTGGCTGAGAAAGCAATTCCAATCTAACGTATATAACACAACTTGTAGTGGTTCTAAAACCCTATATATCCCACAGATGATGAAACAAGCTGATGACCAAAGATATGTTCAGAAAAAACCAGATACCATGAAACGGGTATCATTCAGAGTAGCTCTAGAACATTGTGCTGTAAGATTCAACGTAGATGAGATGCAAAGAATTTGAGAGAACAAGCATATGCATTTCGCAAGGCAAAAGTCACCGGAAACAAAAAGTAACTCTACTATATCTAGTTCTGTAGTTCTCACCATTGCTGCTGTATTCGGCTCTCGGCTGTGAGTGAAGGAACGACGGTAGAGACTGACAGAGAGAAGGGTTTTGGAGCGACCCTCAAATATAAACCCTAGATTATAGAGAGGATAATCGAGGGCTACGATTTCTCTTCCCAAAATTCATTCATCAATAGAGAAATGACCAGGCCCGAAGCCTGGCCCGACCATCGGGCTAGATGTTTGATCCAAGCCCGGCTCTTATGTAAAGACCAAGCAAGGTCCAAGCCGAAGCCCGATTTTCTAGTTTGGACCCGTATTGGATAGTACATGAACATAAGAAATTTTGGCTTTTGACAATCTGAATTTTGCAAAACGTTCAACTTCAATTCCAAAGAATAAAAAAGGGTAAAAGACTTAAATCTCTGCATCCTCTCTGTTTTCAAATTGGACCTACCTCCCCTATATTATGATATCATCCAGAACTGTTTGCATATATTATCACATTATCACATGGGTGTTAATTTTTTTAAAACCCAATTTTTCCTTTGTTGCCCTGCTATGAAACCAAAAACAATCAAGGGAGAATGATTGATCAGAATTTTGTAGCCCTACCGTACAGGGGGATGAATCCTGACCGTGCAAATTCACCGACAGGATGCGGTAGGGGGAAGACTACTAGTAGACTATGGGGGGCTGTTATCAGAATTCTGCATTGGATTGTAGAGTACTTAACCCAACAATCAATGCTTTCCTTTGCAATGTTGAGCTAACATACGCCTGAGATACTTTCCTAGATGCTTTGTAAGATTCTAATGGACCATTTTTGAGACATGTTTCATCTCATACTGAAGAGCAATGGGCCCTGAGTTTGGCGGAGTCTATGAATTTTATCTGAGAATGCAGTTTTGTATCTTTGCAAATGTCTTTACATCTTATCCCCACAACCAGCAATCAATTTCTACGGCATGGGCTCCCACTTTATTTGCCCTTGGATCATCTCTAACATGCACTACTTTGTCAGCCTCCACATTGATATGATCTAAGGTGGCTTTGAAGATCTCTGCATCTGGTTTTTCATATCCAACTTCTGATGATATAATAATGGCATCAAACAAATCTGTAACATCAATGAGATCCTTCAATGGTATCCTTAAGCAAGCATCAAAGTTGGAAACAATAGCTAATTTAACTCCAGCATCTCTCAATAGGCTTATTGTTTCATAATCCCTCCTATTTGATCATCCATCTGAATGAATCTCCATGGAAGAGCATATTACCAATTTTGATAGCTTAACATTGTTTAAACATTCTACTCCTTGCAGGAGTACTCTTGTAGAGCATTTTGTCCATCGAGCTTAAACAATGGATTAGTGTTAAGAGCCTCAAAATTGACCAAGATCTTAACAAGTTCCTAGAAATTCAAAACCTAAGATAGAAGACATGGCTCTGAAGCTCGGGTTACTTCACTTGTTTGAACTTCAAATATAGAGCTTTGACGAAAAGAAAGAGGTGAATTATTTGTTTGCAGTTATAAAGTACCTCCTATTCATTTTTAGAGCTATCAGTCATCTTGATACATTTTCCATTACAGCTTCGATAGTTTTCTTTGAAAATTTAATAAATAATGAAGGGCAAAAAGTCTTTCCATCAATTTTGTCAAATATAATGGGATCTTATTTACACAATTTGAAATTTTAATAAATAATGAAGGGCAAAAAGTCTTTCCATCAATTTTGTCAAATATAACAGGATCTTATTTACACAAGAGGCAATTCAAATCCTATGAGAAAGTAGAGGGGGTGTAGGAGTATTTATCTTAAAATTTAGGGGAGGTTTAAGTCTTTTACCATATATGAAAATGACATTTTGACCCCAGACTTTAGTGAAAAGAAACAGAGAACATCTTCCCATGAATAAAAATATATAAGTATAGAGATATTCCCAATGCATGGTTGGAAAGGGTTGCCAGAATGGTGTGAGCACAATTTTGTGAGGACTAAATCTGCCCTCGACTCAGGCCACTCAAAGGCAAAAACAAAAAATATTTGAAATGACATGGACAAATCCATTAGACAATGAATAAAATAATAAAAGCACGCTTATGTAGCACTAGTAAAGTTTGAAAAGGGCACTTTAGACTCTAAAGTTTGAAAATGGGCTACTTTAGACCCTAATTAAAAAATCTATTAGTTAAAAATTAAATTTTATAACCTTGAAATAAATTACTTCAAGTATTTATTTCAGAAATTTTGTGAAGTGTGCATAAATTTCATCGACACAAATTTTGTGCATAAATTTGAAGCACAAAAAATATGAAGACAAATTCAGAATTTTATTGATTTTTTTTTATAAAATGTAAGTAGGATACAATCTCTCTTTTTCTTATTTTTTAACGAAGAAAACCCTTTGGTTCTCTTGTCTTGTACAAAATCCGAAGCCATGATATTAACTTGCAATTATGAGAAACAAGCAATGACCAGCTTTGTGTGAACAAAATTTCATCAAGATTAATCAACAATTAGAACATGAATGGTTGAAATGAATATCCTCAATTAATTATAGAAGGTTTCTTAGCTATAGCAATCTAATAGGAGATTTTTCAGTCATCTTGGCTATAGCAATCTAATAGGAGATTTTTCAGTTGTAGCAATTTGGTAAAACTTTTTTGTTACAACAACTTAAAGAACCAAATCCTTTAATTGATGTGACATGAAGCTGTAGTAATTTTGAAGTTTCAATAGTCAAGTTGTCACAACCTTCTTGTTCCTTCTTCTTGTAACAAGAAAAGCTAAAAACATTGAGGAAATTGAAGTAAAACTAAAAGAGAAAAATGGTGGCTTGTGTGCCCAAACAACTTGGAGAAACCACAATTAATTGAAAATTAAAGCCAGTTTCTTGACCATAGGATTGCACTAGTGATTCTTCTTTTCTTTTTTTTTTTCTTTGTGATTCATCAGCTTTTTCTCCTTTGTTCCCCTAATAAAAAGGTTCCTTCCTCTCACCCCATCTCCCCTTTTATAGTGAGTTGGTTTCATTTGAAGAGTCCACCCAAATCTACATTCAAAATCAATGTTTTCAATCGTTATTAGCCCAAATGATCGGACCATTCGGTTTAGAAATCATCCAGGCAATTGGTTTCGCTTCACCCTTGAGTCGTTCTTCGGAAAAAAATTGTTGATTTGGTCAAAGAACCACTGACTTGGGTGGTTGAATTGTCAACCCATTTGACCCGAACAATGATTCATTGTTTAATAAGAAAACAAAATGTTGAAAGATGGAGAGGGACTGAGATCAAAGATCATTGAAATCACAGAGAGTGATTAGAGAGATGATAGAAGCAAGACTGGAGCGGAGAAATCTTAGATTTGAGCTCTGAAACAAGAGAGAGATACGAATGGATGTGTTGACTTGTCACTGTATTTTTGTTGTTGCCATCGTCGCCGTCACTAGTGAATATTGAATCCTCCTCCTTCTTCCCTCCTTCCTTTCTTTGCTTTGTTTCCTTCCTTTCCTTTTTTTCCTTTATCTCTTTCCATTTTCTTTCTTTCTTTCCTTCTTTTCTTTCTTTCTTTCTTATCTGATAGGCACCTATGTCTCAGCCTCTCTTCTCATACAAGAAAGACAACCACTTATCGTCGAAACATTGACCTGGAAATCGGTGGCCATGGTGGTTCCATTTATGGGTTGATTTTTAAAACCTTATTCAAAATCATGTATGAAAGGAAATCTAATTTTGATAGTTATGATTCCCTCTAATTTAACAATAATGGAGGTGTCATTATATGTGATACTTGCCATTTAATTGGGGGACCCACAAGATTGGCTTAAGATTGAGAGATACTTTGTCCAATCCACTGAGATTCTCTTTTTTTAAATTTATATTGACATTTTTAAGTGATCTAGCGGGATCATGGCAATCAATATTTAAAACTAATTGGGAGAACCATGTGAAGAGGCCATTTAGCAAGGAATTGAGCCCACATACAAGTTGGACACTTTAGTGTGTTCGATTAAAGCTAATCTCCAACAAATCTCATAGCCAACCAAAGTTTTCTTTTAGTTGTCAATCACTTAGGTACCAATTTACATTCACATGAGGCTCACTAGAATAATTTGGGAAAACTTCTCCAATTGGATGCTGAGATGCATTTTCCAATTATATCACTTGAATACATCGATTCAATGAGGGCCATTGGGAGCATGCCAGGTGGCAAAAACCCACCTCTCCATGCAAGGAAAGATCTCTCCTAATAGGCTCAACAACCCCTTTTAATTTGCACATGTTGGGTCAATACTTAGTAATCCATTGCCAATAATTTTCTCTTCATATTGGACCCATACAAGACACACTTGGGCCCTTCTTCCTTTATTATATATATACAAGGGTAGAACTAGGATTTTCTCTTGAGGGGGGCCAAAAACTAATAAACATGGATAGAGGACGAAAAGTTAGGAAACATGGATAGGGCCACCAAAATATAGGTGTGGGTTTAAGAGAGTATTGTGGGGATTTTCAAGGCATGGGGGGGCATGGGCCCCCTTTGCTACATTTGGCTCTGCTCATATTCAATACGCACAATGGAGTTTTTTTTAAGGGCTATACAATAGGGGTAGCCCATCCCCTAACCCATAACCCTATAGTGTTGAGCATTTGATGATTCCTACAAAAGATTACCTATTTATATTCCATCATTTGGAGACATATGCAAAGTTGTAGACTTTATACATAGTCAACATCTTTACAATTTGCCTTCTATCCTAAAGCCTCATAACATGCATGTTTGGTTATTTTGTTATTTTAATAGAATTACCCTTTAAAGCCTCGTTCATGTTCTTTTGATTTCTAAGATTCCTAGGTAAGTAATAGAATGACATTTTTTTATAAAATACTAATATAAAAATGGGCAAAGTTGTCCAATTATGCTTTATAAAATCCCCCCCAGGTGGGAAAGTTACTTACCCACGTAGGAAATGAGTAAGTTTTACTTGTGAAAGTGGAACTTATTTTACTATGGGGCCCATTAGTAAATGCAAAAAAAACATTGTAAAGTTGGACAATAGGAAAAAGATACCTATTGACCAACTTCCCTAAGTTTATTTACCGGTAAACGAACTGGACCTAAATAGTACACGGTTTGTGTTGGTGTGTTGGTTTTGTTTCCAAACAGCAAATGAAGAAGGAAGAAGAAATATTACTATATCGATGAGGTCTATTTTGTTAATGTGGCAATTGTGAAAAGGCCAAGTCTTTGGACAAGGGGCATAAGACTTGTAGATGGATATGAAACCCTTATAACATTCCAAGTGTTCCATGATCTAGAGATCATGGCCCATCATCAGACGCATTTTGATCTTATAGATTAGTTATGACAAATCCAACTTGAAGAGAAGAAGTTAGCCATGTGATTTTGTTGTATCTAATTCGAAAAAATAAAACCTTCACATATAATGGCTAAACATATTATAATCATGCGATTATGATGAATTCTGGAATGATCCATGTCTTGGCTAAGATTTGTCTAATCGTGGATCATGATCCTAGAACCATGGGATATGGCAAGTTATGAGAGCCTTAGAAGCCTAGAATCATTTATGGGCCTACCCCCTCCATGCTCATGATTAATTATGTCCTCCTGAAAGTATTACTTCTAAAGCATTTTTTGACCAAATAAAATTCAAATATATTTTTTGTCATCCAAATAACCACAATTTGCACCAAATTAGTTGTAGTGGCAGATTGTATAGCCACAAAGTTTTATTTAATTATAAACTTACAATTGTTCATTTTTCTTCTCTTGGGGTAGAATTTGACAAGTGTTTCTTCCAAGAACTATAAAATAGAATACAACATGGGAGGTTAATATCCCTAAAGGAAGAGAAATGATCTTGTTTTTTGTTTTTATAGCTTTTAAACAAAATCTATAATTAATTGTCATGCAAAGCCATGCATTGCTTTGGAGCACCAAAATCAAGAGGTCATGACTCTTCTAGCTTAATTAAGAGCCTTGCACTTCAGGCCACCTCAAAATTTCACAAAATTTGCCTCTTTGGGATATTATTGTTCTTTTATTAGCTATCTTACATTAGTTACCTTTGAGTTTAAGAATGGTCACTCGGTGCTAAAAGCTCGGGCTAAGGTCTGCATCCAATCTACCCCTCCCCAAGAATATATGTAGTAAGGACCAACATTGTGTAATGGCACTTACCTAAAACCATTCAAGCTATTTTGCTGTTTGGCACATTGTTATTAGACTTGATGAAATAAGTGTCATTGATCCATAGTTGAAAATTGACTACCCCTACTGTTTGAAAATTGACTACTTTTATGGTTTAGCTAATTGACTAAGTGTACCCATATGGTTTAGCTAATTGACTAAGTATACCCTTATTGTTTGAAAATTAACTAACACTACCCCTACTATTTCTGACAATTGTCTAGCTCTACCCTTATCGTTAGTATCCATTAATATTTCGTCAAAACCCATATACGCGTGACACCATGTGACTTTTAAATTTTTTAAAAACCCAATGTTACCCTCATCCCCTTCTTCCTCCAACCTCTCTCTATCTTCCTCTAACCGTCTCTGTCAACACTAGATTGCCATTGGTTTCGACAGGAGAGATCGATGACAGCAAAGTTCATGCCAATCTAGAACGGGATTTGACGTGTGTTCACACCAATCTCAAAATCCAACTACCAAAGCCTGCTGATAGAAGAATGGAGGTTGTCCATTCAAATCTAATAGGTTCTCTAGATCATCCATATCTTTGGTTAGCAACTTTTCAAATTGTCCTCAGCAAAGTAGAGGGTGAAGGGGGTGCTGGTGTTTAGTCGCCACATCGAGAGGAAGGGGACGATGAATAGTCCCATTTCACCGGCTATGGGATTTAGAGAGGACAAGCTAAAAAGGGCTTCAGAGAGACAATGGTGGTCATTGTTTCTGTTGCCTGCAATTTCTTCAACCTGCAGGTCACCTCCTTGTATTGTTTCTGATCTGAACCCAGATCAGAGATCGTTTTTCTCTTCAAGGCAGATGGCTTGTGTAGTGGAGAAGGCAGGTTGCGATTTCTTCAATTGTCGCTACAAGCTCTCTCTTCTCTCTATTCTACTCCTCTATTTGTCAATAGCGTTGGTTTCGGCAACATACCCAAAATGGCAGTTTTGGCAACATGCTCACTAAAAACATCAGAAATAGCAGCAACCATCGGTGGAGAACAGCGGTGAATCCCCCCTTCTCCTTTTTTTCCTATGTGTTTTGGTTGGATCAAACGACAAATCGAGCAGTGGTGAATCTCCCCTTCTCCTTTTTATTACTTGTGTGCTTTGGCCAGACCAAGTGACGGAGAGCAGCGGCGGATCTCCCCTATCTGTCTTGCTAAAGCTCTTCGAAAGCCGATAGATCCACCGTTGCTCTCCGTCGCATGGTCCGACCAAAACACACAACAAAGCAGTGGCGGATTTCTTGTGTGTTTTGCTACTCTGACCGTGAACCCAACAATGATGGGGAAAAGGAGAGAAAAAGAGGGAGAGGCCGATGGGGAAAAAGGAGAGAAAGAGAGAGAAATAAGGGTTGAGAGAGAAACATATCTAAAGGGTAAAATAGCCCTTTTATCATTTTGTTAACGAGAAATTAAGGGGTGTTAACAGTAAGGGAAGTATTAGTCAATTGTCAAAAATAGTAGGGGTAGCATTAGTCAATTTTCAAACAGTAAGGGTACACTTAGTTAATTTGCTATACCATAAGAGTAGTTTAAGAAATTTACCCATTTTATAATTTTAACTTATACCGACATTTAGAACTGCTAACGTAGATGCCAATTTCATGATATGCTGGCGGTTTGCTTTTATTTGTAAAAGCATTTTGGAATCTTGGTATTTATAATCAAGGTTTTAAAAACTGACCCAGAAACAGAACCGCTCTAGCTACCAGTTTTCGGTCAGTGGTTCAACCATTTGGGTCAAACAGTTTGGACGGTTTGCATATTAGGACAAATTTATATGAAATTTCAGATTTGAAAACAAAGAAAAGGTTATCCAGATAACCAACTCCATACATGTGTCACAGCAAAGACCTATATAGGGCTATCTAAATATAGTTTCTTCCACATTTCAGTGGTGTAGGCTTATAAACCTGGCTAATAAGTAATCCAATTGGCAAGATTGAAGTCAAAATGACATTCCAAGGTACTATTAGGTCTTATATTTAATATTCACTAGTTCAGTTTTTTGCTTACAAACAGTTGTTTTAGCCATTTGATTGTATCATTCTAAACAGCTTTTGCCGAAAGAGAAGGCCAAGAACCAGATTAAAGCCAAAATCACTTGAAAGAGTTTCTGTATAGCCAGCTTATCACTTCTTACTTGTGAACAACCCCAGTAAATTGTCCTCTCTTGGAAGGGTATATTTAAATCATGCTACAAGAATAAAGACAGCTTTTATTCCATGTTGTTTAATTAATATCCTTTTTTTTGTTCTATGTTGCTAATATCTTGATCTTGTAATCAAGCTAATACCTTTCCCCCCAAAGTGCCATGGTCTCCCATCCTAGAAACCAACAACAGCAAATGAAGATGTTGAATTCCAACAGGATCTTATTAACTTCATCAAGTTCTTAAACTGTTGGGTAAATCATATGGTTGGTATACTCAATCTTTCAAATGAAAACATGCTTAATTAGAAGTTAACATACATCACTGAGCTTGCAATCCCAACTTGTCCACAAAGAATGCAGCACTTTCCATTCACTACATTGTGACCTATCTACATGCAAGAGAGGTTTGTAAACCAAGACATGGAAGGTTAATGAATGAATTTGGCTTTACCCCTTTTACAATTGAGGGAGGGAGAAGAAGTCAAAGACTCAAATGGGCCCAAGCATGTTATGGAATCAATCTTTGTTATGAAGCACAAGCCCATCAAAGCCTCAACACAAAAGTTGATTAATTCTCTCTCTCTCTTGTTTTTTAGTTCAAATTAATCTATGATTCGGCGTTTAATTGAAATATGGTGTGATGTGTAATCCATTCAACAGTGTTGGTGCGTGGTTGTGTTGTGCTTTGATGCATAAAAATTTGAAAAGAGTTTTTTCCCTGAATTTAATGTGGTTATGAAAACAATAATGAAAAACATTAAGACCCACTCCAAGATGATATCTCTGATAAAATGCTTTATAACATCAGCATAAAAAAATGTTTTGAAGTTGTATGGTTTAAAAATGATATATTGATATTATCAAAAAAAGTAGAGAATTATTGTTTGTAAAACTTTTTTCTCAGAAAAACAAATAAGAAAAATATAAGGCTGTATTTTTTTCTTTCAATTTTATTTTTTTATTATTGATAGAGATCGAAAACAAGAAATAAGTGGGCTCCATAAGCCTGGCGTAGTGTGACTCAAGCAAATAACATTGAGCCTCCGAATTTTCATTAACAGACTTGAGCTTCAAAGAGCTTTTAATTATCAAAATAATTAAAAAATGCCACAAACGTTTTTTTATATCCTTTGAAGGGCTACACAACAGGGGTAGCCCATCCCTGGACCCATAACCCCCAACCCAAGTGCAGGCAGGTTCAATCTCAAATCTCCGCTACGACCAGCAGGAAACCTTACCAACCGACTGCTTGGCACCTTGTGGCCACAAATGTTTTTAAAACCATCAATGACTAATTTAGAGTCATTTTCATGATAACCATTGTGATCCCAAACTTTGCATCCAAGCTACACATCAGCAACATTGATTGGCGTGCATGACATAGAAAAGAAACCTAGAACTGCTCCCACCCCCACCCAACCTATGATAACAAACAAAATTGCACAATTACCCTAATAATGTATTTGGTTTAGGCTCAGTTTGGAAGCAGTGTAAATCTATACTACTAATAAAAGAGTGAATAGCCCCATTTCTTGGACTTTTCGTTAAACATTTTTACCCCTTATCTAAGCAACATACAACGGGCATAAAAATGGCATACATGTCCTTTACTCTTATTCCAAAAACTGCCCATTTATAACAGTTAAGAAACTGTCCATTTATAACAGTCTCTCCCTCCTGTTGTTCTCCTTATCCAAATAAATTATATCATATAAAACCGCTGAAACCAAAGTTACTCAAACAATTTTTGCCTGAAAAACTCACATGTGGTGTTGCCTTTACTACTGCTGAAACTAAAAATCTCAAGGACACCCAGAGGTGTTGCATTGAACTCAATCAAGCCTCCTTAAATTCATTAAACAATCTCAGTAGTAAAACTAAAGCCTGAAATTCTGTAAGAACTGTAAATTTATCAGATGAGAAATTTCCAATTATATACTTGCAATTGTTCTACTAATGGATGATCCTAACAATAAAGAAACCATTATAATACATCTTAAGGAAGAATTATCAGGGCATTTAAAAAGAAAATGAAGATGTACATTTACTAAGTAAACCTGAAAATGGTAGATATTAAGAACTACAGCTATCACTTCTGCTTGACAATATGGCAACTAAATGAAGTATAAAATAATAAAGAAACAAAGTAAAGAATTGAAAGAAAAGTATGACAATTAATTCTTCTTAATAAATATTTGAATACAAGGAAAGAAAACCTGAGACTATAAAATATTTGGGAATGAAGAAAGGAAGAAAATAATTTAGAAAATATTAAGTAAAAGTAGAAGTACAATTATCATTCTAAATAGGCTTCCGGTTATGCATAAGCGAAGTAACAATTCAAATTCACCTTCCTTCTTTTTTCATTTAACATCAACAATAACATGGATAACCTTTTGCTTCAGGGTACAATGATGAGATAGTTCTCTCAGAATTTAATTTATTGAGCAAAGAGTATAATTTTGTATTGATGTATAAAATAGACTTTTGTACAATTGCACTTCACAAAAAAAATATGGTGCCAAATGAAGAACAAAAATGAATCACATAAAATAAACCATCGGCTCAGCCTCTTAACCCAGGAGAAACCAAAAAAAAACCTATCTCCTGCACAAACTGAGCCTCCTATAATTCTTAAATACCATCTCCTGCAATGAATGGGTGATTCAAGAGCATCTTCGCTGTCCATCTCAACTCAGCATTCTTCATGAAACACATATTCAGAAAATCCTTGCCCTCGTCTGACATCTCACTGGGTACCTCTGGCAAGGAAAAACCAGAGCTTATCTGAAACAGAATACAATTAACATCCGAACCGACTTTGCAACTCAATGCTGGCTTCCCAGTTATCATCTCTGCCACAGTGCAACCTAGAGCCCATATATCAGCGGGAGCCTCCTGTATACCATCTCTAACAACTTCCGGTGACAAGTACAGAGGAGTGCCTCTCCAACCACTCTTCAATTTCTTCTGCTGAACCTTCTTCGCTAATCCAAAATCTGCAATCTTTACAACGTAGCAATAGCTCCTGGTCGTTCGCTTTCGGGAAGACAAAGAGAAGGCAAATGTAGAGGAAGGAACGAGAATGATATTGGCAGGCTTGATATCGCAGTGGACATAGCCACGAGAATGAATGTAAACGAGCCCTTCAAGAATCGACTTTGTATAGCGCTTCACTTCGGATTCAGGTAATCCACCATTCGATCTCTTTATATGTTGGGCTAGAGATCCTCCAGAACCGTACTCCAGTAGCAAGTTAAAGTAAAGCTCGTTGTTCCCAAAGGTGACTTCATCGCCAAAGCAGTGAACGATATGAGGGCATCCATCTAGGTCGGCCAGAACTTCTCTCTCCTCCTGAAGCGTATCCGATTGAAGGATCTCCGCCCACTTCACAGCCATAATCGGCGGCAAGTTGCATCGACGTGTGTTGACTCTCCTCGTCATAGCCAGAGAAACCCTGGAAAACCCCCCYCGGCCAATCGTCTTCCCTCTCAACCATGACTCACCATTATTCTCGTAGTCTCTCTTGTCCTGAGGCTTCTCATGCTGTTTCCGCTTCATCGCTTTCCAAGCTTTGTTCTACACCACCAAACAGCAGAGAAATGAAAACTCACTTTAGGGTTTTGATCACTGATAACAGACAATCAAGAAAAGCAAAAGACATTACACTTACCAGAAGTAAGGAACGCGCAGTTCTAATCCTTGGATGATAGTGAAGTACGAACGGATAATCAAAACCAGCGAACCCCACTGAAGAAGAACCAAACAATCGAACAATTTACGTTGGTTTTTACAGAGAAATCAAAATGAACGATCGGGAGAAGTAAAATGGACTCAGGAATCGAGCAGGGTTCAAGAATCAGGGTATTTATTAGGTTTCACTGTCCCGCACCGACTCTAACTCTCTCTAACTACGCTTTCAAATAACATGGCAATCGGTTCTTTGGGAATGAAATTAGGAAATGCGCGTAGAAGTCTTCGGGGGTAATATAGTCAATAGGTAATAGAAAACAACAAAAAATAAAGGGTACTTTGGAGAATAAGAATCCACCGACTCGGAACTTTGGACAACTCCATATACAATTTCCAAACGGCTAGTAGTGCTCGAATCGAATCTTTGTTCAATCGGCAGAAATTTGACCAATCAAAACATCCCGTGAATTTTGTTGAACACCATCCGATGATCACTTTTTTATGATATACCTGTTGATAGGCTGTAACAAGTGTACAAACACTCGTTGAAAACCGTCACAAAAATGTAACTTTATAAATTAGTGACGCTTTCCCGTTTAAGTGACCAACTAGTCGGGACCCCGTGCGATGCACGGGTTTTGTGTAAAGAAATTGAAGCCAAAAGAGTCTGATGACATTTCCAATTGGCGAAGTTGGTTCAAATCCAACCCAAGCATCATTTTTTAATTTATATGTCCTTATATAAACTCCATTAAATGTATCTTTATTTAATAATTTTCATAAATTTTAATTTCTGTTACTGTTTTAAAATTTGTATAATTCCAAATTCTAATATTGTTTACTATTTATTATTAATTGTAAGAAATAATTTTAATTACCTTTATTTATTTTATTAATTTTGAATGTATTACCTTAACTCCAGTTTGGGGTGGTTACGTGTTTGGAGGACTATCCCCTGTACCTCAATAGCTCATTACCAATAATAATAATAATAATAATAATAATAATAATAATAATAATAATAATAATAATAATAATAATGATAATAATAATAATAATAACTGCGGTGCCTACATAAATCCACAACTCATGCTTCTTGATCCGAGGTGGTGCATGAATCAAGGGAGGCAGTCAAATAGTCTTTGCTAATAGGGCAGAGCCGACGTGGAAGGATGGAGCCGCACTTCAAGACCTGTGATCAAGAAAGGAAGTCAGAGGCCCGAGGAGTTATCCACGGGTAGATACTCCAACGCTCAAGTCAGTAGAAGGATGTGAGTGGTTGGGCCAAGCAATAAGGCTGCTGGTCCGAGCAGTGTAACAGTATAGGTGTTAGAAGTCTAGAATCCCCTACCTTGAGTAGGAGTTACCGTTTTATCGCCGAAGGTGCGTGTCCTAGTTGGGTTAGGCTTTTGGGGTTGTCGGGATGAGGTTAATAACCAAGGTCTTTGGGGTAGAGTCCTAATCCCTAACAGAGTTGTCATCTCCCTTTCTTGGTTGTGCTTATCCGCGTGACGTGAGGCTGACGTAGCCAAGAGGATAAGGTTGGGGCTACGGAGGTAGCACAGCACGACCATGGATGTGGAGTCGATGCATGCCATGGAACTGGCCAAGCATGGCCGACGTAGCCAAGGTGACTAGGTAGCCATGTGTCATTCAAGGCAAGCTCAACCATGACTGGAACACCACTCCCCCAGTTTCGAAGTCGAGGAATGAAATGCTCGGCTGAGGTGTAGGTGTGGCATGGTGCTTTAGTTTTCAGTTGAGGTACTCCGAGTTGAAGTCTTGGTTGAGCGTCTAGTCCACTTAGCATTCCTCAGCACTTGTTGGAGCTTGGAATCCGCACAATGCGGGTTGCGACTGAAGAGTGCTTCGATCGTTGGCTACGGAACTTCGACAATTAGAACTTCGAAATCCGAACACCACTCTCCCAGTTCCAGAGTCGATGAGAGGAGTGCTCGGCTGAGGCTTGGTGTGTCGTTTACTTAAGTCAGGTGCCAAGTAGATTTCATCTTTAGGGTCCGAGCTTCCGTATTGCTCGACTACATTGCACTGCGGAGGGCTCATCGTTCTTCGATTGAGGAACTTGGAACTTGAATTTTCAGAATCCGAACACCACTCCCCTAGTTCCGAAGTTGAAGAGGAGAGTGCTCAGTCGGGGGTAGCGCAGACTACTTGGCTGAGCTATCTCATGGATTGCTCGGCTAGGTTACAATGCAGATTGCCCAGCCAGGACCACGAGAGCGTTGCTTGCTTAGATGGCGGGCCCGATTGAACCAGTGTTTCAGAGCGGACCAATGAGGTTTGTGGGCTTGATGACAAGGGGCGTCACTTCAGTTCCCGAAGCTTCGTGCGTGCGATATCAATCGCGCTGATTGGTCTTCCTAGGCTTCGTTAGAAGAAGCTGTTAAAATAACCTTCACCATTAATGTTGTGACAAAGGATCTCTCTGTGCATGTGGTTAGCTGGTAACTATTTACAATAATATTAGGGTGATCCATATCAATGCTAAGAAAAACACAATAATCCCAAGCTTGTGGAGCATTATTTCTCAAGTTGGATAATCAAGGCTGGTAAACATTATCACTCAGTGTGGGATCTTTCTGTTGGCTACTATTTATTTTATTTTATTGTCACAATTTCTGTTATGCATGTTATTTCCTAATTTAAAGATAAGCTTCATGTTCCTAGTCCTATGCATTGCTTATTTACATCTTTGAATTACAATCACTTATAACAAGTGATGAGGTAGCATATATTGCTTGATACTCAATGTCATTTCACCTGTCAAAGACATCATTAATAAAATTAATGCTATTTTTTCATATATCAACATTTCAGAATCTTGTTATATTCATCCTGAAGAGGACAAAGCTGTTCCTTAAAAAGAACAAGAAAAGGAGGCTGAAGACACCATCCCAAGTTGAGGCCTTGGAGAAATTTTATAATGGTATTGTTGTATTGCTGCTCCTTTTAACATATTTTATAGTTCTGACTTGATGCTAAGTTCACTTGAACTCTTATAAGAAATGTCTCTTACCAAAAACACAAGTACCCCACAAAGTCAATGAAATTACAACTTGTAGAGGAGATAGGATTGTTGGAAAAGTAGGTATTTGAGTGGTTTTGCCATAGAAAGTTGAAGGATAAAAAACTATCCAAAGAACCTTTGTGGTATTTCAGCTTCACAGGACAGGTTGTTTGCTCAGAGTGAGGATCCCTATGGTGCAGAACCTTTGTGGTACTCATCTCGAAATAGCAATTATTTGTTAATAGAACAGCAGCCACAGCAGTAGAACAGGTGGGTTGAGTCTTGATTCGAAAAGCACCCAAAATGGCATTGTGAAGGGAACATCTATTGTACAAACCAAGAATCTATCAGTTTGAAACTAAAATGTATTTGTGATTCAAATATTTTGAATGAGAATAGATTTTTAAATTTTATTTGTAATTGATGTTTTTATTTTTGCATTTCATTTGAATTTAGATGAGTGTAGAGAAAACAGGTTATTTGAAGAAAATTAGAAATAAAATTAAAAAAATACAAGTTATACAAAATATGCATATATAGATTTAGCGGCAGTCGCAACTACCACTAAAGATGTCAATGACTACTGTTAATGAGGTTTTAGTGGCAGTTTTTTGCTTTTACCGACAGTTGAGAAAACTGCTGCTAGAACATCTAACGACACTTTTTTAGCGGCATTTTCCGGACTGGATTGGATTGGACCAAATCTAGTCCAAGTCAGTGAATGCCGAACTCTCCAAGGTGATAAAGAAAGCAAAATAGGAATTGGATAGCAATGTGTATATGTGAGTGTACCTTTGGAGGCTAGAGATTTATCTTTATATAGACCTCCAGACTCAGTTGAGACGTGGCAAAAGGGATGAGATAGGTTGCCAGCTCACTAGGACAGTAGAAGGCTACATGTCCAATGTTTACAAGGCATGCCTGCAAGGCATGGAGGGTGTCTTTATCTTCCCCACGAAGCGGGGTGGAGCAGCTTATTCTTGCTAGATGGGCTTCGTTTTCACAAACATTTTGGGCTAGCTATTCTGTGTGAATGAGGAAGGGAAAGAGATTGTCATGTAAGTCTGAGATTTACTAAAATTGGCGAGGTCTATAGGTTACAAGCTGCCTAGGTTAGATGTTAAAACTGTATTAGGCATGTGTTCCTAGTAGCGAAGGAAAAGGACAGGATTTAGCTACGGACAGAAAACCATAGCCTATATTCGCGTGGCTATAGCCTATGGCTACGGTTCAACTGATCCGTGGCTATAGCTCATCTATAGTTATGGTTTTTGTCTGAAGCTAAAAGATGGATTTAAACAATACAAACCTTTAGCCACAGACTGAACCGTAGCTAAAAGATGCATATTTCTACGGTTTATAACTACAGTTTTTCATTTATAACCACGGTTCATTATAAAACCGTAACTAAATGTAGCAACCTATAACTACAGTATTTTGTCAAAACCGTGGCTAAAAGAAGCAATCTAGAGCCATGACTTTTTGTAAAACCGTAGCTAAATGTACAAACCTTTAATTATGGTTTTGTACGAAACTGAAGATATATACATCATATTATAACTACAGTTTGGACAAACCGTGGTTAAAACCTGACTATGGCCATGGTTTATTCCAAAAATGTAGCTAATTGTTTTTTTAAATAATGATAAAATACCTGTTCCATTCATACATTCCATAACTAATTATTCAAATTAAAATAGTAAAATAGCAATAATTATTGATACTGCCACCTTAAAGCAATGTTTATTTCATTCATACATCACACGAAAATTATATATTGTAATAAGAAACTACATGCCATGTATAATTTGATACATCCATTGTGTTACCAGCAAAAATA